CAGCTGCTTACTGCTGCCATTTGCCCCTGGTACCTGCGGCGTCTGAACCAGGTGCATAAGCTCAGAGGAAGTCTTACAGAAGTTTAACTTTCTCTTCCTTCCTACCTACCGAAAGTTTGATTCTCGAAGCAATCACCAAGTATGAAAATAATTAGACGGAGAAACCAATACCGGCTGTGCCTTAGGGTTGCGAGCTGAGACGTCAGCAGAAGCCTCACTCATTCTGGGGACAGAGGGAACACGGCCTTTTGGAAAGTAATCGCTAATTTAGAAATAGGATCTAGATCTTGCCTAGGCAGCGATTCCGTATCCGTTCTCAACTTCTCCACAATGACAAGAATAGCAATGATATTCAATAATGCAGGATAGACACTTATTTCGTACCACTGTCGAATGTCAGGCACTTTGACTGCTTCCTAGTCTAACCGGCCAATCTCTGACGGAAAATGATGCGCATACCAATTAGTCTACAGACAGAATACAAATCCCCACAATCCCAAGCCTCTTTTGCAACCAGTCCTTCCCACTCTCATGAAGATTTCCAAATTTTGGGTCTCAGACTAAATCCTCCGTCTTCCGTTATCTGCACCATCATGGACCATCCCCTTGGAGCCGCACCGCGCACCAAGTTCTCACGTCCATCGGTTTCAGATCGATAACTAGTGGCCTAAGTACGCAGTAGGCTGTAGCAGAGCCAGGAACCACATAGTAGCAAACACTGGTCTTTTTACCATTCCAGGAATCGGGTTTCCAGACCATATCTAGGTAAGCAGGTGGTTGCTTGATGGCACAATATGCTTATTGATCGGCAGCCTCCGTGGACAAGGCACGCGGCATGGGTGACGGAATACGGGATAGACTAGGAATGAAGTTTCCCCAACAGTTTATGGGAAATCATCGCCTCAGAGAAGCCCGATAGTCTCTGAGCTTGCAAGACGGGTGTCTTTTTGTCCGGTTAAGCAATGATCTTCTCAGCAAACAATGACTCCAACCCATAATTTGCTTGATATTACTCCCTATCTACTCCGTATATCTAGTCGAATCATCAGAACTGACGTTCAGATAGTACTTTGTAAAGGGCTTGAAGCCTTGTGCTCTGAGATTCAGTACTAGATCGAATACCTAAAGTCTAAAATCGATAACTATGGCTGGATTCTCCTCCAAATCGAGCCTAAATAATGGCAACTCTCGGCGGTCTACATATGCTCAGCGTCACAATAATAAATGGAGTATGGGTTTTCTGCACAACACCCCTTGCTGAGTGCTGAATGTGGTTGCTTTTTTCAATTTCCTCTGGCGTCAGGCACCCACGTGGAGTCTTATATTATGGGAGCGGCCCCTGCTGTCTGGCATTAGATACTTCGAAGGTTTCTCCGTTGGATTTTCCACCCTGGTTTCTGCGGGCTTGGGCTTTCCGGGCTCTCCCCGAGTCAGGCACCACTGAAGTCCTCTGAAATAATGGTCTATAAGATTGACACGGCCCGTCTCACGTTGTGTGATGATTAGTATAAATTCTTACTGCGTACTCTCTACTCCAAACTGGTTCTACTTAGTTTCAAGAGAGTAGATTGTCGTGGTGATTGGGTATACAGATTGTTGTTTATATACGTAAATAAAACCAATAGCGGCAGGAGACTCCATCTCTGACTCGTTGCAATCATTGTAGTTCCGATTCAGAATGTCATAGCAAAGCCGATCCCCGACCTCAGTGAGGCAAATGTCGAACGACTACTGCAGCTACGCCGCACCTGTTGGCGATCAGCGCAATGGCAATAATGGTAATGTCAGAAAATAAACAATTACAGAGTAGACCAGAGACATACTCAGCCTCATGTTACGACGCGGACAAGCAGCAAACAGACTCTACTATCAGGCTGATTATCTTAACCCTTAGTCTAGTCATAGCACGAGAATTATTATTCTGGTGCACGCGAGGAAATTACAAAGCAGCCTAGACGGGTCCAATCCTTGAGGCGAGGTTGCGATTTTGCCATCAAACTGATGACACAACGGTGCACAGAAAGACTGTATTTTGTATCTGAGTTTTGCCACAGTCTTGCACGAATCTCGTCAATTGGCTGTGTGAAGTTGTCGCACACTCGCACTTATGCTCCATACAGTCCTTGGAAGAGGCAGGCTGAGCCCAGACCTCGTTGATATTGCAATGGTGCTAATTACTCCGTAGATATGAGACAACAGAACCAAGCTGAGCATTGGCATGGCATCAGCTCTTGATTACGGGGAACTGGTGGAATTGGCGGTGATTTGCGGAATCATCAGCAGCAATTAACGGCAAAATAGCATGCATTCGCTTGAGGCAAACTTTAGCGGCGTAAGGCACAACCAGGATTCGGTGGAAAGGAGAGACATGATAACTGACTGCTTAACATCTATACGACCATTATTGAACTTTCCCCATCCTGGCAGGCTTCCCTTGAATAAACAGAAGTAGAAACTATCCAGACTCGATGGGTTTATTGACCTCCAGCGTCGATGCTGCCTTCTCTTTGGTTGATTGACAAGCGAGTCACATCGAACTCCTCCCGCCATCGAACCAATCGGCCTCCCTTCCTTCATCCTTGTGGTGATCTGGACGAGAATTGGTTCACTCGCAAGCCAATCTACGATTATCACAGACGCTTCTTGATCATCGATCTTTAACTCTATTGATCACATTGCATGGACTCGATAGTCCATACGGGGTACCCTGTGGTCAACGCCCCCACGAAATCATCGTCTATTCCAATTAATCGACGTCTGCTGCAGCAGTCCGAAAGCGCTTCCTACATTGATCGTCACCCGTTCTGCAGACGCTGTCATATAGACCTGATTCGACAGTGCTTCGTACACATACCCTCTCATTTTTCTGTAGCGGTCAAATCGGGGAGCGTTCTTTCGTTCTCGGCTCTTACCCTGAACCTGGCCACATGATGTGATGTCGTTTGTCTGCTCCAATCCCGCTTCCAGAAAAGTCTCTTCTCTGGATTTGAAATCGTTGTGCGTCCGCGCCATGCGAGCGAATTGGCTGGCAAGTCTATGTTTGTCGACCTTCAAGAGTTGCGGTCATGTCGAAGACCCTCACGTGTTCTGGCTCCAGATGGGTGTCTTGCTATGCTTCATCACTTGGATGTCTGATGACTGGGAAGCGCACGAGACCACATCTATCGTTCCTGTCGATATTCTGCATTGATTTTGTCGCAAGCAGCTCAATTACACCTTATTGGAGGTCTTGAAACGATCGCCCCTCGACACTGATTTACTGATATGTCCGCCAGTATATCGACAGAAACAAAGGAGTCCTGGGAGGCAACCAGAATAAGCTTTGTTGTGAACCCACTCATCACGAGCCTGCCGGAGTTTGCAGCTGGGAAGAACTCGAAGCAGCGCGCAGGTTCAAGCAACTTCCGGGACGTAGGTCTAACACAACAAGATGCCCAACTTTTCGCTCCAGGTCGCATCCTGGTATCCGCACTAACTAGACTAGAGGAGCGCAGCCTCGTTCAAAATGACGTCGTCGTTCGAAATGTATGCTACGCAGTTCCCTTAAGCATGCTCCCGCAGAGGTGATACTATTCAAATGGCGGTGTGATCCCTCTTTCTCCGCAGTTTCAATAACAGGAGAAGAAATACAATACAATTCATCTGCGGAGCGACAAGGGAAGTACACCAGCAACTCAAAATTCAGATTTGGCTGTGGAGAGTCGGGGACTTCTAATGACTCCACAAGCGGTTGAATAACTCGGCCTCCATTGCCTGCATCCCTGTTCCTCCTGTTGAATATTGCATATGATATCACATCCAGGTGGAGAAGACCACCCAACACTAAACCTCTCCAGCACGATGCACTTTGCATAACACGGCTTGCTCAGAGTGCCAGAGGAGCAGCGGATCAATGACATTCTCGGATCCTCAGGCTGCTGGCATACAGGGTCTAAAACGTTCCGTGATACTACCGTCCGATCTGCGCAGCTTCAAAATCAAACCAATTTTTGACAATTGCCAGTAGGTTGATGTTATCCGTGATAACACGGTGCCCATCCTGTTTTTGGACCTGCTTGGTGAATGAGGGATTGCAAGCTGTATCAGCACTTACAGAGTACGGGGATAACACTTGTCGTCGCTGGTTTCCATTCGAGCTTCTCGGAAGTGAGGTATTAAGGGTATGACCGTTGGGTACGGTTACCACCTACGTACATAAAACCCAAGATAGGAAGAAATAGTATATCTTATGGTATAGAAGCCCTATAGCATTCTCTGCAGATGGGCAGATATCACTGACTACGAGTTGCCTGTTGAGAACCGAGGTTTTGTAGTCATCCACGGGGGGTGCAAATTTTATCATTTTTCTCAATCCCTATAACTAAACTGATATGCGATTCACGACTTAATGATCGACAGCTTGCGGTAAAGGGAGTCAAATCAGGTGAAGGCAATGCCCAAATAGATCTACCATCAAATCGAAGTCAGCAAGGATGCGGTGAAATCGTTGACGATTCAGAAGATGAAAGAAGCATCGTTGTCAGAAGTCCATTAAGATCATCGAAGCAGACCACAAGGATCTGCTTCTGACATAAGAGGTACCAGAAATAAAGTAAAAAGGTGTTGTCTCATCACATAGATAAATCACGAGGAAATTTGAAAAAGTTTAGAACATACCTTTTGCAAACTTAACTGAGAGCAATTGTGGACACGTTAGTCAGTCATATGTATGGCCCGAGAGCTGACAAACGATTCAATTGATCAGCATCAAGATCAGAACGTCGAATATTTCCGATAAAGGAAAATAATGAGGAGGGAGGAAAGAAGTAATGCGGACGTTGAAACCGCAGAAATAGTAAGAAAAGCTAAGCGAACTCCACTCTCACGTGACCCACACTCCACTACCCACCCGACACTTTCTCATCCATCTACACATCGGCTTCAATTTTTTACGATTTCATCCATCGCCAGTCCAACTCCGTCGACACACCCGACCAGCTCACCCCCGACAATAATTCAAGATGGGGTAAGTTATCGCTCTTCGCGATCAATGCGATTCGCAACGCATCACCATAGTCGCTATCCCGAACACTCGAACTAACGAACTCGCTACAGTCGTATGCACAGCAAGGGAAAGGGTATTAGCGCCTCTGCTATTCCCTACAGCCGTTCTGCTCCTGCCTGGTTGAAGACCACCCCCGACCAGGTCGTTGACCAGATCTGCAAGCTCGCCAGAAAGGGTGCTACCCCTTCCCAGATCGGTGTTGTCCTCCGTGACAGCCACGGTGTTGCCCAGGTCAAGGTTGTCACTGGTACGTTTACTTAATATTCGTCCGTTCCGCGTCTGCCGTGCGCTAACATCGCATTTTGCAACAGGTAACAAGATCCTTCGTATCTTGAAGTCTAGTGGTACGGTACCGTCCATTATCACTCCAATCTCACCAGTATAGACGAGGATATCAGGGCGAGGGTTTATGGACAAGGATGTACGGCGGTTGCTCTGAGAATGAGATGCACGAGCGTGGAGACACCTCTGCATGAAACCGCTGTTGCCCGTCTTGATCCCCTGCCTCGATTCCGGCTCTATCACTGGAAGTGAGAATATCTTTTCGCAGAAATGCAAAAGTTTTCTCTATGCCTCTGCTTGGTCAATCCACAGGCTGACAGAGAGATTTTTCGTAAAACAGGCCTCGCTCCCGAACTCCCCGAGGACCTTTACTTCCTGATCAAGAAGGTAGCGTTGCATTTTCTCATGCCCTTATATTTGCGCCTTACTGACTGTTTTAGGCCGTCGCCGTCCGCAAGCACCTTGAGCGCAACCGCAAGGACAAGGACAGCAAGTTCCGCCTCATTCTCATCGAGTCTCGTATCCACCGTCTGTCCCGCTACTACAAGTCCGTCGGTGTCCTGCCCCCCACCTGGCGTTACGAGTCCGCCACTGCCAGCACCCTTGTCGCTTAAGCGGCTCGCCATCTCTCTGGTCTTGGTGTGTGGTTGTTGGTTCTGTGACATTTCGTCATCAATGAGGAATTTCGCTCTGGCAACCTGAGATGGTTGCGGGGTGATCGACTAGGACTCTCCTAGTGTTAATGCATGAACGATCCTAGATACCTCTGGTCGCGAATAGTCGAAAATCAAAACAAAATTTTAACCACCTGAGATCTCCACAGTAGCTTGGACGTAGTTTCCTCGATACCAGTAAATATGACTAGGGCCCTGCAGGGTATGTGCTATAAACAGCTGTACATCACAATTCTTCTATACACTATCCCAAGTATGTGCGGGATCAGCTCGCTCGTCTAACCTCCTTTGCAACCGCGTTGCAAAGCTCAACTCTCACACCCGCTCCAGTAAGTACATGAATCCACAACCTCTGGGTATCACTCAAACGATCATTTTCAGACTTAACCTCCGCGAACATGACTTCCTTCTTCTCTATATTCCACAGAAAGAGATCAGGTATCCCCCCACCACGTTGCTGATACTCCTGAGCCATGACCTTGCAAATAGTGGCGAGGGCTTCGCCTCGAAAACACTGGACGATCTCAATCAAGTCGTTTAGCTCAAAGGACCAGTCGATGCCGATGGCGCAGGTCTGCTTCGCTGATTCGCGCTCATGGATATCGCGGATGATTCTCTCAGCAGCGCCGTTCGTTATTTCTACCAGACGGTAATTGATCTCTGATGCGCGGGAGGGGTAGAATGCATCGGTGTGGAGATCTAGCGGACAGGTTTGAAAGGGTGTCTGGAAGACATTAGGGACGTAGGTGAATAGGATGTCGTAGAAGAGGTAACCGAACTAGGATTTGTATGTTAGCTGTGAGATCATGCGAGATGGAACAAGGCATACCAAGGTTCTGACGATCCCTCCTTCTGCGTGGTAGCCCTTCCAGCCATGATCCCTATACCAGCTCAAACACATGCTTTCGACTCTGCATTCGCTTCCGCCTTCTCTCTCGTCAATCCAGATGGTTGGGCGTCCTCGCCTGGTCGAGGCTTCCTCGCTTTTTCCTGAACCGCGAGCTGGTGAGTCCTCTCTTTCGATTCGTATACCCTCAATCGTCCGTACTTCTGGTTTGGCCAACATGACATGGCCAAAGTCGTGTTGCTCACGCTTGACTATTTTTAAAGCCCTTTCCAGCTTTGTGATCCGCTTTTGAAGATCATAGTGGTATATGAGATGGCAGTCCGGGTCTTCCAGTCCTTCTTCGCATGTTCGCAGAGCAATTCGTTTCCAGTGTTTCTTCTGGAGGTCCTCGCACCGTCCATCAGAAGGTGTAAGAGCCCACATATAGTGTTCCTCCAACAATGCTTTTCGTTGATACCATGCGCCACGTCGGGCAGCGTGGAACAAGCGCTGGCCTAGCAATTCACACAGGATTTCGTGTTCCCGTTTGTGTTCTTTGAAGCGCCCGAGCGGATGAAGGCCTTTATGAATGATCCTGGTATAGACCCAAGCTGGAGAAAAGCGACGTAAGTAGGCGCCTTCACCCGCTTCGTAGACCGTGTCTTCCTTGCGCTGTTCCTGTTCGAGTAGAATTTTCCATCGGGGATAGACGTCTGTACAAACGCGTTTCACATGCTCCAGCCTTTCCTGGGTGGGAGTACCGTTGAACTCAAGTAGATTGTCTATTTGATGTTGTTTCCGAAGTGCCGATTCGAATTCAAGCAGAAATTCTCTGGATGGGAAGATCGAGCTAGAGCGACATACAACATACGCGGGAAAGTTTCTGCGGGAGATCTTCGCAAGAATTATGGTGGTAAGGGATTTTTCCGTCCACTCTGTGGACCTGTAAAAGACAAGATGGACTCTCTCGAAGAGAGCATAAGGCCCCGGCGCAAGTCTGATGCAGTCGCCGGTATACTCAAGTATTTTCTGAATATAATGGTCATCTCGATTGACAGCAGGAGGTGAGTCGTGCTCTTTATCGTTCCAGTTAAGACCTGTCTGTCTCTGGCTGGACGCGCGAAAGGCTTCAAGCAGCTCCTTCTTGCTCTTGCCTTGAACCTTTGCGTCCTTTGCAAGGACTTTGAGTTCTTCAAGGAGTAGCAGAGAGGATGCCTCCTCCAGAGTCGTTATCTCATCAGTGTCATCGGCGAACCTGAAATGAGCGAGGTCCGCACCACTGCCGGAACCCATATCTTCAGAGGTACTATCTGAAGATACTAGAGGAATAGGCAGCTTACGGCTGGACCGAAGATCAGCAACCGCCTGGGACATATCACTAATGTCGGAGTAATAACCCAAGCGATTGATGCGATGCCAAGCCGAGGTCTTACGAAGGAAGAGCCGTACATATCTGACGATAGACTATCAGCTTGTTCCCGATGATGCATCCGATGGCTCGACTCACAAGTATTGGGAGTCATACGATAGCTCCTTCCATTGTTTGAAAACCTCTAATTCCGCCTCATTGAAAAGATGGGCTTCTTCCTCCAGCACAGTTTCCAGTGCCAGATTAAACGCATCCACATAGATCGAGCTCTTTCCCTTCCGCCATTTGCCGTTGTGAAGCCTCTGGCGCAGATCAGGCTCGTCATCCTGGTCTACTGAATGCGAAATCTCGTACTCTTCGATAGCTTGTTTATCTGTAGGAATATCTGGTAGCGAAGACTCTAGTTCTGTCTGGCTGTTTGGGACCGGGTTCTCGTCCTCGACCGCGAAATCGCCGGCGACTTGGGCCGAGGGCAGGGCATCCCATGTATCTAACGGACTATCAGAGCTATCGACTTCATTTTCGTTGATGCTGGAATTCTCTTTCCGAAGTGCGACTGTTCTGGGACTTTCTTGACCCTCTTTAGAGGTAGTCTTCCTGCGCTTCATGGGAGGGCGCGACGTGTCCCAGAAGTCCAGAAGGGACATGCTGCCTCGGGAGATTTGAGCTGATCATTCGAGACGAGGTTTCAGAGACTCTCTGTGAACAGCATCCATAATATTGATTTTTGATTGCCAACGACGCGCTGACACAACTGTTATTGAAGTCTGAAAGAAACCACCCCCATTACTTGGCACCCAAACGTCGTCACGAAAAGACGCGAAGTCACATGAGTTTAATTGAATTTTGTACCAGTTTGATATGTTTGCAGCCTGAACACCTTGCAGGCAGTAGTAAGATAAGCAGCGCCGATGAAAGCGCACTTGTACGCATCTAAAGTAAGCGCAAGAATGATGCCTTCTATCCTCGCAGTCTGTATATATATCATCTTTTGACATAATAGTAGCCATGGCGGACGCTCCTGTGAGAAATACCTCCCCTTATGACCATCCCCACAGTGGAGAGCTTCTTGAAGCTCCGCCCGCAAGCTCCGCCCTGGGAGATCTTTGTTCGATCTAACTGCGACATCACTTTTGACTTTCTGTCTAATCTTGCCTATTGCTTCATTCCTCCCTTGCTTCAATCAATCATATCTGAGATTGCTACGCCTCCATCTGACTCCTAGTCTTTAGTCACCCGGCTCGGCCGCCTCAATCAAGAAAGAAGGACCCTCTACGTCCTCTGCGCCTCCGAACAATTCAATCCCACACAGTGATCCGACCTCCGCACCAAGCGCATTACATCTAGTCAACATGGGCAACGGAGCAACACCCGGCAGCAACACCGGTGCAGCAAACACCCCGCGAGCAGAGTCGAATACCCCCGCAGCGCAGGTCCGTCCAGGCGGCGCGCCCGCACGAGTATACATGAACGAGAAGATAGTGCCGTACTTGCTTGAGGGGATGAAATCCGTCGTCAAGGAACAGTGAGTGGCTTCTTATCGCTCGTGAAATGCGCGTGCCGCGTAATGGCTCAGTGCAGGGCGTTGCGCGGGACAAGGATCATTCACGCGACTAGTACTAATACCACCTTTGCAACAGACCTTCAGATCCCCTACGCGTGCTAGGCGAGTATCTGATTCAGAAGAGCAACGAAGTCGAGGGCGGAGCGGTCTCCACGAAGAAGTCGCCTGAATAGGCTGGCGATAGCGGCGATGGCGTTAGCGAGCGCTGTGAATTCCACCGAGGATTGGTTACCTCGTATCTACTGTGCCTCGTGGAGCGAATTTCAGAAAAGGCAACTAAACGCTTACGTCTGCATGAGCGCGAGCAGCATACCGTCCCTTGACTCAGAGCAGTTGGGATCCTGATGAGAAGGGACATGGACTCTCGCCAATATCTGTCTGTTCCACGGATTATTGCTGTGCTGACATTAAATGCTCGACTTGAATTATTCAGTCCTGCGGGAGAACGAGGGAGAACATCCCACCACGGGCAAGAATTCCAGTCTGTGTCGCAACCTAGATTTCAGCGAAGGTGCACGCCTTTTACCTGCATATTGGATATAGCGAGAGTCTTAATCTTAAGGTTGATATTGCCTCACTAGAGGCGATGACTTGATATCTCCGTTATATAAATCAAAGTAATAATTTTGTATTTCTCGCCTGGATGCGGCCTGGCGGTTACTGTAAATATATATATATATATTTGGAATGTCATTCAGCAGTACCCTTGAAATCACATGCCCCGTAATGAACAGAACGCTGAGCAGGGCTGGTGAAACAAGATCAATTGGATAATAAAGGATATACAATACCGACTTATGATGACAGTCAACAGAGTATTGTAATAGAAGTTGATTCTAACACAGCGCCTGAAATCGGAAAGATTAGGGTCTTCAACAAGGCTTCACCAAATGATGACTACTCCACTCATGCATAAGGAGAATGTCGCTAGGAGCAGATTTCTCATACTAGAAGAAAACTACTAGGCACCATGGATTTCTGATAACAATAACCTTGATTGTTAGTGTCGCAGGAGAGCCAGATGAAAGAACCATCACCACAAGGCTAGCAGAACGTTGGAGGAGAATGAGAAAGGAGGGTTCTACCCAAAAACTTCGAGCAAGGCAAGTGGTTGAATCGAAGTTATTACTGTACCTGACGTTAGTATCCTTTTTCCTGATGTTTATCCTTACCTCTCGAGC